TGAAGGCTAACTAAAGAGTACAGGAAAATGCTGCGGTTGCATTTTTATAAGAATTAATCAGAAAATAAAATCACACAAATTACAAACTACTACTGAAAATAGATTTGAAAAAAAAAAAAAAAAAAAAANAAAAAAAAAAAAAAAAAAAAAAAAAAAAAAAAAAAAAAAAAAAAAAAAAAAAAAAAAAGAATATGCCTATAATATAAAAAAATAAATTCATGGTATGTACTTAAAAATGAAAACGTTTAAGATTTGTTTTTTAATTTCCATGCAAAATATTTTTGCATAAATTAAGACATATCAAAAACTCAATTTCAGTAACAAATCATTTTATCACTTTCAGGACGGTGATTGCACTATTCTCCCCTCACAGTATAGAGTTGGCAAAACTAATCATCAAAGTGAGTTGAATCAATAGAATCAACTTACTTAGGTGATTTAAATCAGTAATTGATAATGAAATTTTTAAAAAAGATAAATATGATGCATCTATAATTTTTTTTTCTTCAAAAAATCACAATTTATTTTTTTACATTTTTCCTATAATACTTTTGTTATAAATACTGTTTCATTATAACGTTATAAATACTTTTGATTGTGGTCATTAAGAAACTACAATGAAAATGAATTACTGATTTTGTTTTATTTATTAACTTTTTTTAATGTAAATTTATCAAATTTTTAACTATAAATATAACATGGCATAACTCTGAAGTAGCAGATATTTAAGAAAAATGATTCATTATAATTTAAATCATTATAGTTATAATTTAAACTATTACACATTCCAGGATTTCTAATTTCAACTTAAAAATAATATATTTTGTGTGATGATGAAATACAGGTACATCCATACAGTATTTTTAACCCTTTAGGACCTGCAATGGAATATACTAATATGAAAGTGCCGTATTGAGATTCATAGATGATCCCGCTATGGGAGAATTTAATGACCGTGGTATTGATGGAGTTAAAATTAAATTGGTGGTAATCATTGTATTCAGTAAAACCAGCTCTAAATCTAAGGGAGAAATCAAAATACTTCAAATATATTCAATACTAATCAAAATATTTATAATTCAACTTTCAATATTTATAATTCATGATTTCCGAAAAGATTTATATTTTACTTTTTCTTCTGTTGCTTATTTTGCAAAAATAAATAAAGTAAGTGTATGTAGTATTAAATAATGCTAATGCTTTTATAATACAAGTAAAATACAGTACAGAACCCGTTATCCGGAAATCAGAAAACCGGAAAACCAAATAGCCGGAACAAAATTCGATAAATTTTCCCACCATTATAAAAAAAAAATTTTTTTTTTTCCTTATGAAATTTTAGGATTTTTCGTTCTTTTTTGAAAGATGTTTACCTTACCATCATTTTGGAAATAATCATTAGTGTATTGCTCCATCGTTTTCTCTTCTTTTTAAGATTATTTCCAAAAAAAAAATTTTTTTTAGCTGTGTTTAACAATAAAAAAACGGCTTTTTGTAGCGATTCAGAAAACCGTAAAAACCAGTTATCCGGAATAGCGATGGTCCCGATCGTTCCGGATAATCGGTTCCCTACTGTACTAAAGTTTAAACAAATGAAAAAAAATAAACAAACAAATATGAGTACATACCTCATGCAGAAACTATATAAGCATGCAAAACTAAAGCAAACGTAAGACATGCCATGAAATTAACACCAGGGACGATTTTTTAGCAATTCAGAGGTAAACATAACTTGGAATGATAAACACAAAAATTTACAATTCCTTTTTCTGAATTCTACCTACACTGAACTGAGCAAGGAAGAAAATTCAATTAAACATTGATCAATAATAATACAATATTTTCAACTAATTTATTGAAATAAAGTATTTTTACATTTAATTCACATTTTTTTAAATTTCATTAATTTAAAATATACACAATATAATAAATATGAAATATGATAAAAAAAAAGTACAAAGTAGTATAATTTTACAATAGTTTTCTTTCTATTTAAAAAAAAGAAAGAAAAAGAATGATAAATGGCAAAATGCAATAAGCCAATGAAGAATTACTATAATTGTTTAATTATATAGATGTAAAATATCTAACTGATTAGTAAAAAATATAAATAAAGAAATTATAATATTTTCAAACAAAAACTAGAAAAAGATTNGAACGGTTCAAATAACTATTTTCCATTAACAGAAAGTACAAAAAAATTTTTTTTGCAAGTTTGGCAGGTGTTCAAACTTAACAACTTTTTCCACCATAGAAGCAACCCATGATGAAAAGCTGAATTCAGTTCGCAAAAAATAAAGTATTGCAATTTGATCATATGTAACTAAATGTAGAAGATTCACTTTAGAACATATCAAATTTTCATGCAATTTGACTGATTTTTCGCAGTTCTATGAACATTTGAATTTAGACCATTTTTTCGTAGATTTCAAAATTTTCGCAAACTTTTGACCGGTAGTGTAGATGTAAAATATATAACTGATTAGTAAAAAATATAAATAAAGAAATTATAATATTTTCAAACAAAAACTAGAAAAAGATTTAAAAAAGTGTATTAATATGAATGATAAATGTACAAAAATAAAATGAAATATTAGAAAATTTCATTTTTTTAAAACTTAAAAATTAAGTACTTCAAAAAGATAATTTGTATACAAACAGTTTAAATTTACAATAATTTGAGACAAAAACTTATTTCACAAAAAATGTATGTTAATATGAATGATAAATGTACAAATATAATGGAACATAAAAAATAAAAAAAATATTTTAAACGAAAATATTACTAAAAAAAAGCTCATTTTGATACAAATAGTTTGAATTTTTAAAACAAAAATTTATTTAAAAAAAAAAGAGTTTATCTAATTGTCTACTTCTTTGTAATCACTCATGCTCATTTCCATAACAGTAAGTATTTGGTAAGCTGAATACTACAAGGTGTGTAGTCAGATTCCTCAGCAAAAAATAAGCACATTTTAATTACTTTTTAAGCACTCAAAAAATATTTTTAATCATTTTAAAACAAATAATAATTAGGATCTGTGCAGAAATAAAAATTATTTTTTTCTATGGTTAAGTTCGTACTTTGAAAACTTAAACCCAACAAAATGCAAAAACATTTTCAAAGACTTTACAAAATCTTGATAAAATAACTAGCTTCTGATAAATATTGCAGAAAAAATTGTGAAAAATCATGCATTTTTTTGTAATTTAAAATGACAATCCACATGGCAAAGAAAAAATCTATTTAAAAAGATAGCAAATTAAGCACTTTTTACAAATCCTGAAAAAGCACATTTAAGGAGAATTTAAAAAAAGTAAATCAAAAATAGGCACTTTAAGCACTTTTTAAAAATGCTACACACCCTGTACTAAGTATTCAGCCATGAAATAATACATTTTCAATAACATTAGACTTAACAAAAAGAAATAGTTTAATGTAATCTTTAATTTGTGAAAAAAATACTTCAATCTATAAAACACTTCGTATAGTGTTTTTAAATAAATAAATGCATATATATATATATATATACAGTAGAGAACCAATTATCCGAGATGCTCGGGACCATCGCTATCCCGGATATCTNATATATATATATATATATATATATGAAGACATAATTTATTCCTTATCTTTTTTAATTTAATTTTTGAAGTAGTTTCTTAAGCAGAGGTATGAGGTGAATTTTTCATATTATTATGTGCTTTGAAAATAAAACTTTTTTTTGAAAGAAAAGTTTTAAACTTATTGAAATTAAAATGAACGAAATAAAAAAAGTAAATTTTTAAATAATACTGCTACATAGTTTATTACTATTTGAGGCTGTCCACAAACAATGCAGAAAGGAAGGGAGGGAGGGGCTCTGGAATAGTTTGTGACAAGGGTGAAAGAAGGGGTACAAAATTAATGAGACAATTTGCTTAAAATTAAAACATTCAAAATTATAGCATATTTAATATTGTTTTTATAACTAGTTTTCATCAGAACAACGTATATATTTTACCATTGTTCTTGCCAAGTACACAAATCTCATTAAAATATGTAGTTAAAAGTTTAAAAATAAAATTTATAATATATTACATGTGTCTTGTTTATCAGCCCTTCGGCAGAATTTTTTTTGGGCTTTCTGCGACAAAACACTAGCACTCATTTTATTCTACAAGATACTTTCAATAATGACAAAGACGTGTGTTACTAATTTAAGGTAACAAACACACTGTGTTTACAAAAGCAAAAAAATTTTTTTTAATGGAATATGTAATATTCTTTCCAATTCTAATATTATTTCCATTATCGCATTTTGCAAATCATCATCACTTTAAAAAAATAGTTAAATATCATGAAATCTGTAGCAGTATTTAATGTAAAACAGATCGACAAGGAAATCAGACTTTTCAGAAAGGGATTACTCAAATGCAGGTTTCGTTTCAAGATTTGATGGTTGCAATAAATATTGTACAAAAAAATATCATGTTTTAAAACCTATGCAGAAATCAAACACAATAACTACTAAAAAATGGATAAAATCGTTACCTTAAGTAAATGATCAAATATGCAATTCCAATATCATATAATGCCAGAAATATATCGGGATATCTAAAATCCATGTGAAAATCAATGTCGTTAAATGACGAAAATGCTATTAAAGTTGATTTACGATATTGGCATAAATTTAGCGCTTCAAAAAAGTGATTATTTAAGTAAGCGATTCAAATTTTACATGCAAATTTCTGCAAAAAAGCAACATTTTTTACTTCCCAAGAGAAAAATCTGTAAAGTTTGGCGACAATGTCACCGAGATTCTACCACGGGGAATAAGGAGTGACAAGGAGGATTAATGGGTAATGTGAAGTGTGGCATTCTGAGACATAGGGAAGGAGGGTGTCAAAGACATTTATAAAAAGAGTGACATAATTTACAGACAGTCCCTTATTTTATGATGAAAAAAAGATTAATGTAGAACAAGTGAAAAAAAGATTAATGAACAACAAAATGATACCTGGATTGCATGTCTTGGGGATGAACATAATGATTTCCTCCTCTGTGTATGGGACTAATGAAGGCATTTGCGGGTGATATCTTTGCATGAGAGCGATTGGCTGAGCGACTGTTTGCGCCCTGCTGATGCTTACCTTTGGCCCAAATGTTTCCAAACAATACATGGTTTCTCTGTAGAATAAAAGAGGATTAACCAGGATGGAAACAAAAATTGAAACTTCTAAACTATCAGAAGTATAAATGACACAGAAATCTATACACCAAGCACTTAAAAAATTCAAATTTTAAAATTCATTTAAATTTTTTTAAATGTTTTCCACTTGTATAACAGTATGTAAGGATTACTTTAAACATTTATATCTTGTGAAATTTTTAACAAATTTAAAATTTTATAATGATATTCTTATTATGAATTAGAAATTACTTTGATAATTTTGTTTCATTTTATTGAATATTTCTGCAGTTGCAGTGGGAAAACATAATTTAAAAAATTAGTTTTTAATAAAAATTTTGATATGTCCCTGAATATTTAAACTAGGTTTATGAAATTTTTTTACAGTTATTTCCTAGGATAATCAATGGAATTGACATAAGTTACAAGCTTATTGTTTTAATTTTTGGCATAGGTCCTAGTCAGGCTGGTCAAATTGGTCACCCACCGGCTTACTGACTGCAGCCAGTGATGCTTGACTTCGGTGTTCTACTGGGAACTATGTGTTTACAAACAGTCCACTGCGGGACACTAACTGATGAAGGCGTATCATTAAGACACTTAAACACACATATGATTTTAATTAAAAAAGTTACTATTTGTGATATTAAAAATATTGAATAAACTATAAAAACATCAAATGGACATTTTGAGACAAATTTATAGAAATTTGTCTTAAAAATCATGCAAAATAGGTCAACAATTGTAACTCTAAAAGTGAAAAAAAGAGAAATATGCCCCTCTCATGCCTTCCTAGATCTTTAGAAACAATTTTATGAATAGCATAGCTCTCATGCATGTTTATAAATCTAGGGTTAAAGTTTTCTTAAAAACATGCTCACTTTTCACATAATTTTACAATCCCAGATTGAGTCTACAACATTTTAATCACAATCCATAAAACCTTAAAATAATAAACTCAGTAAACTGTCATAACTAGTTTTCTCTTCAAACAAAACTAAATAAACTCTTGGAATAATTATTTTACCCTATGGTTTGGCAAAATATCTGGTCCATCATCAAAATCGTCTTCCTCCAAGTTGCCAGATATTGCACGTCGCAGTTCAGGCCCGGCCTCGTGTAGAGTACGGAGTCCCGCCTGAAAAATACATAAAACAGCAACATAATAAAGTATTAAAGAAAACAACGCTGATGAAACTTTAACTGCATAAATTGAAATTAACAAAACAGTTCAAAAAATAGGTTTAATAATCAATATTTTAAAATAATAATTTAAGTGTAATTTTTTTTTTGTAAAACTCTTCATTTTAGGTATTGTAATAAAATAAAAAAAATTTAAATGTATAAATGTAAAAAATAAATATTCACCTTAAGAAAAAACTTTCCAAACATAAATTTTTTTTTTTTAGTATACCACTAAATTCACAGACTTAAAAGCTGCAAATAATCTGCAATCATAGAATGGATATAGCGAATTATTTTCAAGTTTTAATTTTTTTTCAAAACCATTTTCGGAACTCAGTTATACAATAATAAATTCAATCTGCTAAAATAATTTTGATACATTGTTTTTATGCTACATCTTCAAATTCAAACCTGGGAAAAAGCTAAATCATTATGTTTCTACGCTTATTTCTACAGTCGATTTAGCGGTACAAATTTCTCTATCATTTTTGCTTGCTGGAAAAGGTAATTTATAAATGATAATTTGATGTCAATTTCACTTTTTAGCATGTTTTGGAATTGCGTCTTGTTCTTTGGTGACTGAGATGTTTATCACTGTATTTAGTTCATTTTTAATTTATAAATTACATTACTGTTCATGCAATTTCATTTCTATATATATTTTATGCATTGCTTACAAATTGGGTTTAGAGGCACTAATAATACCTTTGTTCTGGTCAACTATTATTCACAGAAAAATGAACAAGAATGCATAGCCCTTGAAGTCCTGTATTGCATTCATTCTACATTTTTCCAATTTAATTACTATTCTTTAGTTTTTTATAAATACGATTATTGATAAGACACAAAACTCTTGTTATTTTCGAAACGGTTATTATTATTATCATATGAATAGCTTTTGTGACCGAACTGTTAAATAGGATACATAGCCAAATTTTTCAACAAAAAATAAGCACTTTTTAAGCACTCAAAAAATATTTTAAACCTTTTTAGAAAGAATTTAATTAGGATATGCGCACTAATAATAAAATTTTCTACCTATTGATGAAAGTTCGTTTTGGGGAAGAGAAGTTATCGACAATGTCAACATTCATCTATGTAAAGGTACCCCAACATAGAATAGAGTTAACATGTCTTATATATTAGTGAATTGGAATCGTATTTTTTGCAGTGGTAGATGCACTACAGTACTCTCCTACCAGAATTTTATCTGCGATAGAATCCGATGAACGGATAACACTAGTTGATTCAGTGTTGTTTTGTGAGAAGCTGGGAGAGCTGTATTAAGATCACCATACTTAGTGCTGAACATGAGAGCTGTATTAAGTTCGCTGTCGCTCCTGTGTTGCCATTAATAATAGAGTATATAGCGACTGACACTGTGTGAGATGGAGACTGAGTAGCAACAGAGCGAGGAGGTGGATAATGTCACAAGTAGCAAGTCAACTGATCAATGGGTACCATCCATCAAAGTAGGAGTGTTCAAATCAAAGTGGAAGTTTCTGTCAAGGTAGGCGTGTTTACATCATGTCTGAAGGTCACCAATGTGGGGAAAGAAGTTAGCGACATCAACCTTCATCTATGAAAAGGTACTCCAACATAGAATTGAGTTAACATGTCTTATATACTAGTGAATTGGGATCTTATTTTCTGTAGTGGTAGATGCACTACATTTGCCATATAAATATTAACAAAATTACAAATAATTTCAAAAGACTTTACAGGATCATGAAAAAAAAAGTTTCTGACAAAAAAAACTCTTTCTTGATTATATCAGACATCATAAAAACAATTTGAGCACACTTTTAAATATATTCAATATTTAGTAGCTCATTCTATTTTTTAAATTAATGATTACTTTACTTAATCATGCAAAAAATTTTAGAAATGGTAAAGAAAAAAAAATCTCATTTTGGAAAAGGAAAAGTTAAAGCATTTTTTAAAAAGTTCCATTGAAAAAAGCACCTTTAAGCACCCTGTTAAAACTTAGAAGATACAATACCTGGAGAGCAACGGTACTCTCTTCTGTTCCATCTCCGACTGCTTTTTCACGTTCTTCCTTCCTTTTCTTGAACCTCCTAAAATAATCCTGAATCAAGAAGGTGGCATAGAATTTGCCAACGGTCACATCCTCATCCGCTGAAGAAGAAAATAATTTTATTTTACTTTATGTTGACACAAATTCAATTTCATGACTATCCTAATAACCTTGTAATTATGAAATGAATCAAGGAAACTGTTGAATCGGGACAAACTGGCCTTTTGATGGAACTAAAATGCATTTGCGTCGAATTAAAACCCGGTACAGTTAGTCTCTGCCACTAAAGAATTATGATCTATGATCCGTCCACCACGGAGAATATTTTACATTCACAGATTTAATACTGACCACGGATCATTGGTATTTGAACTTGGCTAGTTCGACTTTAAAATTAATTAAGGATCAGGAAAATATTATCAAAATAACAGGGATACAAGGTTAAACAATGATAGCCATTAACTCAATTGGATAATGGTATGTAAACATAAATATAAAATAAATTCAGCAAAACATTGTAGTTTGTATACAGTAAGAACTCTTTCCCACCACCTAGTCTGAGACTGTCTGCAGCAATGAAATCAAGAATAGCACACAGGGTGCGTAGCCAGATTTACCAACAAAAAATAAGTACCTTTTAAATACTTTTAAACACTTTCTAAAAGAAAAATCATAATTAGAATCTGTGAAGTAATAAAATTTTTTTGTTGTTGTTTAAATTTCTTAATTTATTAACATAAAATCAATAAAATTTAAAAACATTTTCAAAAACTTAACATAATCATGATAAAATAGCTAGTTTCTGGTAAATATTGCAGGGAAAATTGCGAAAATCGTGCATTTTTTGTAATTTGTAACAACAATCGACACTGCACTCTTCTAAAAAGATAGAAAATTAAGCACTTTTTACAAACCCCAAATAAAAAAAGCACCTTTAAGGGCTTTTAAAAAAAGTAAATCGAAAATAAGCACCTTTGAGCACTTTTTAAAAATGCTATGCACCCTGGCGCATTTAAGCTAGGGTAGCTTCTCTTCACTCTAGGACTAACAGAATAGAAAAAGATTCCCCTTCTCTCGTCAAAGCCAAAACCTGTCCTAAACAGTGACCCCACACGCCTACTTGAAATATCTATAACTCATTACCAAAGTCACCGTCACGAGTACAGACAAATGGCTAGGGGAGTTCTTACTTCAGACAAACTATAATTCTGGGGCATATAGTTACAAATAATGTGCAGAGAACATAGAGATTCACCTGCAGGAGGTACTACTTGATCCAGTAGTTTAGGGTTTGTCCTTTTCCATATTTTTTTAATGATTGCCCTCAACTCTTCGTTAGCTTCATCTATGTTACCTAAAATTTAAAGATTATGTTAAAATCTATTATTTATATCACAAACAGATATTTCAGAAGGACACAGATTAAACATTGCCATTTACATTACACTCATGCATACCTATTACTTCAGCTTTTACTACTTTGTTTTTCTCTTTAATTAGTTATACGCTGACTGAAAACACCAGCAATTTCACTTGTTACTACTGCAAGTTTTTTTTTTATCCCTTTTTTATGCCTCAAAATTGTAGTAAAATTAAAAATTGTAGATAAATAATAATAATTTTGCATAAAACTCTGTGCTGATTTTTACATAGTTAATTTTAAATATCAATATAGTTTTCTTGTTGCTCATTTGATTTTTCGTATAATACAGAAAAAAGGTAAAACTTAAATATAAGTTTAAATTAAATACAGGAGGCAACTGAATATCCGGTCTAATATTGCGGATGGGTAGGCTGGATAAAATACAGCAGAGTCCCGGCTATCCGGGTTAATGTGGACCACGACCGACCTGGATAATCGAAAACCCCGGTTAAAGTGAAGAGTATAAAAATATATATATGTATAAATATAATATAAAAGGTATAAATGTAATATATTTATCAAATATAACATTTATACCACTACAATTTATATTATAATTAAAAAACTTACTTAAAAAACATAGTTTACAAGAATTAAAGAGTTTTTACTTAAAAAAGTCCTTAATAATTTTTTTTTGTTTTTACATTACTTTGACGATTTTCAGCCGAAATGTTTTGCCACTTTTTTAAGGGATAACAGGAAGGCTGGTGTCCTATTCTTGTTTTTTATGTATTTAATAGCACTTTTGATAGCTTTTAGTCCATTTATATGAGAGGTTTTTTACGTTGTTTTCATCGTCACTGCCTTCAACCTCTTCAGTAGATTCATTTTCATTGTTGACGATATTAATGATCATTTCATCGGATCAAGTTTTTCTATTTCGTTTTCCAGAATGTTTGGAAGTTAAAATTGAGATTTCCTTTGGCGGTACTTTTAAAAATAAAAAAAATGAACTAGAATAAAAAATTCTTGAAATATTTGATCGAGGCATCGATAATTCACGATTAACAAAATGGCCAACTTTTTTACCTGCGTCTACCTACTTATTTTTGTAAAACTTTTGGGGACCAGACTTAATACAAGCCAATTTAAACTGCAACTGTAAACATGAATTAAACATAAACATTGTGAATATGAAATGTGTTACCCTCTGTCTTGATTTTTAAGGAAGTTCGGACCACAGCAAACAAAGTTGCATTAAAGTTCACTGTTCCATCACTGTTCAACGGCATGTTCATTGAAACAAGTCTCTGAAAATAAATGAATGCTTTTTATAGATACAAGTATTCATAAAAACAGGGTCATTTAGACTAAAATGCAAAAATTGCAGTGAAGATGGTAAGGTAAATTCACACACACTAATTTGAAAATATAATTTTTAAGAGGATAATGAATGCTTTAAGTTAGTCAGAGTTCATAACTTCTTCTCTAGGTACATTGCTAATGTTTATTATTTCAAAGAAATCATGTCTAAAAATTTTCTATGAGCTTTGTAACATATGCTAAATATATTTTTTTCCCTCTTTTAAATACATTTTTACAATAATTTAATCAAATCGACATTTTTAAAAAATATTTGACTTTTTAAAACATAAAAAGATTCATAAATAGATTTTATTTGATTTCTTAAAATTAAATATGGTAGAATTAAAAAAAACTACAAAATTTTGAGTTAAAAAATTTAAATATTTTTTTTTTAATGTTATAACTTTCTAATGAGGAAAACAGTATTACAGTCAACCCCGCTTAAAGAAATACCAGTGGTTCCAGCCAATTCTATTCAATTAAGTGGGGTTTTTATTTTTATTAAAAAGGCAGTGCTTTATTCATTATTAAATTATACACTATTGAGAAATTTTACTTTATAATGGTATTTAGCGCATACTATAGTGTTTTAATTAAGTAAACTCAATTTTATTATCAATAAACAATTATATTTATAACTGTCATCATAAAATATGAATGTTATTTAAAGTTACATAAAACCAAATCTATGCTAATGAAAAATATATAGGTTCTACATACCCTCCAACTTATGAGGATTCTGAAAATAATTCTTTCTAGTGGTAGCGAACCAAAGTAGAAATTTTTAAAGCAAATGGATCTCTCATAAAACTTTTATCAGAACTTAAGAATCTAGCCATATGGACTGCACTTTTATAAGTAATAGTGGACAAATTACGCTAAAATTAATTTTTTTAAATATTAAGACATTAATTTTGCTACCGTCTGAAAAGAAGATTTCTGAAACTATGGAAATTCCGTAGCAGTTGGAGGGTATGGGTTCTATAATATTTTATTTGAAAATATTACAATTGAAGACTGTTTCTAGACCCGTTTAATTCGTCAATTTATCAAAATTGGATTTCCCCTCTCTGTTTATATTAATTGCATATTCCTTTCAAATTTTTTATTTTTATTTTCGAAACTTAAGAAATTTTTAATTGATTTGCTACCTCAGTTTGGGATTTTTTGAAGTTTATTGTTTCCAAGATAAATTTTTTCTCTCCTATTAATTCAAATCAATCATTCCTCTTCAAGCTTATTGTTCAACCAACTCAGAATTATTTACTGGAGTAAGAAATGATTATGCTACTTTATAGAAAAACACTGTACATAAAAACTACAAATATCTGTTTAAACGCAGAAATTTAACATTTGTTTTATATGAAATGATTTGGTTCCATTAAATTTTATTTTATTCATATGAGCGAGTTATTCAATTATCAGATATGCAATTAAATGGAGACGACTGTAATTATGTCATTAAACTTAAAAATGCAACTTTAGTGCTCAATTATTAAATTGGAGTAGATTTTTGATATGATACATGCCATACATTAGCAATTATTCAAAACAAAGAATTTAACATTTTATGGCAAAAATCAATACTCCACCCACAATACCCCCTTGCAAGTGCCCATGAATATTAAAATGAATAATATGTTTGAAGCTGATATTTAGAACATTAAGCAAAATTGATTAAAACAGAGGATAACAAAAACAGAGCTTAGAAGACTCTTGTTTAATCATTATTGTCGGGGAGAGCTACATACCAGTAAAGCAAATCAATAAAAATTTTGATGACTTTTTTAAAAAAATTATACACATAAAACTGTAACAGAATAGAATCTTGGTAATTTTATTAATGCAAAAGGAAAAGTATAAACACTCATTTTTACATTTTACTCACAATTATCACTTGTAGTACAATAAATGCAAAAAAAAAAATAATAAAAATCTAGTGCAGTGGTTCCTATATGGCGTTCCATGGAACTCTAGAGTTTCGTGGAAGGGTTAAAGGGGTTTCAACACCTACAAGGGTGAACTGACTGTTGCATTTTACGTGCCTCATCTTAGTACATATGATGCTCCTCTAAATATGAATATGTTATTCTCTCTCTTAGCTGTTTTCTGGTATGGCATCCCGTTTTGAGATATTCTTTGTACATTGAGAATTCTTTCTATATTCTTTGATTTAGTGAAAAAGAAATGGGAATGGGAATCTAGTACCTCACACAGTGTTTTCACTACAGCGCGAGAACGCGAGAATCTCGCATATTTTTTTATAATCTCGCATTAAAAAATGATTACCGCGAGAAATTCGCGCATTCTATAAACAAATTTCAAAATTCGCGAATTTCTAGCATTTTGAAAAAATTTCTCATTTCCGCCATTTAGAATAAAATCTGTTTCACTTTTCTTCCTGGATCTTTTATTATTTTCAACACATGCCCCATTATCTAGCTTCCCTATTTACCAGTATTGTTCAGAACCTTTAAGAGCAACAGAACACCATCCTTCCGAACCACGGAACCTCTTTTAAAACGCATTTCTCTGCAACCACGTGTTTACCGTAGGTAAGGTTTCTTCATGTAAGACGTTCAAATTTTTTGCTCGTTAATGTAAGATGGACAAATACCTTGTAAAGCCAATATTTTCTACTCCAAAACGGACAAATGAAAACGAAACAAATGTGGGTAGAAATGATCAAAACGAAACAAATACGCATTTGAGCAACCTAATGAGAATAGCTGATGAAAAAGTAGATGTAGAACATTTTCCATATGATGATGCAGCAAAAATATTCAATGCTTTAAAAATTAGAAGATGTTAAAAATGAAACAAATTGAAACAAATGATAATTAAAGAAATGATTTTTTTTTCAAGTCTCTTTGTGTTTTTTTTTTAATTTTTGAAATCTCATTTAACTTTTTGAAATCTCACCCTGTTTTTGAGAAAGGGTGAGAAATTCTCACCCATTTTTTTTCTGAGATGAAAACACTGTCACAGTTTTGTGAAGGATGAAATTATTAAAAAGTGAAATTATTTAAATGATAATCTCATCCTAATTAATCTACTAGAGTCTACTGAATTTAAATGACTCACCTTGCAAGCCACTCGATGGGGACACAATTTGCCAAAACCTAATGGTGGAGATATCTTTCTTAGCAATGTAACTACATCCAAGTGTTTAATCCTTCCCCTAAATATTTGAATAATTATCCATTAAAAATTTTGTTTGAATGGCAATAATTAAGAATGCAAAGTGAAAAAATAAGCTTATGTAACATTTTAAATTAATATAAAAAATTTATTTTTCGAACGTATAGAAACCTCTGTTCAAGTTTCTTTTTCTTAAAACCACAAACTTGGCAGAATAAAATGTTGTATATTGTCCTTTAAAAAATATAAATGTTACTCCTGCCATTCGTGCTTTTAGACATGGAGAACAATAAAAAATATTTACAGAAGCAAACAATATTAACAGCAGACCTTAACATGTTCTTAAAAGATATTTGGAAAATGTGTTTTCAAAATATTACTGTTCACCAAATATTTTCATTTATCTTTCTTTTAAATTTCTTGTGACTATTTAAGAAATTTGAAAAAAAAAAAAATTGGAAACATTTTAATTGTTGGAGTTTCACTTTCTATAAGGATATCAACACTGCATTGGAGTGGTTAATATTCCTCGTTTTATTTTGTGCTTTCAGAACCCTGGTAGCAGAAATCTTCCAGCACAACAGCAGACCCTGCTGATTATCACAGAGCTTGAAGACTATGGCTTCGCAAAAGTTAGATGGAAATATATATTTTGAGAGAAGAAACAGAAAAGTAATTTTTTATTCATAAACTTATTTAATAACGAAAAAGAGTGAACAAAATAATGGAAACACTTTTATACTAATACATTATTTCATATTTCTCAAGGAATTACTTTAAAACTTCAGGGTGGCCACTCAAATCAGATTTCGAATTTCCCCGATTTTTCCAGGTTTTCCAGATAAAAATCTTAAAATTTCCAGGTTTTTGCTTCTTTTTTCTTATAAAGTGTAGGATGTGTACAAGAAAAGTGTCTATATTATAAAATATTTTATTCAAAATGTCATTTTTTTAACATATCATCTTGAAAAAAATAATTTATTTTGACAAGTTTTTTATTTATTTTTCAAATGTTTTGGTACAAAATTTTGAATCAAAAATCATATTTTGACCAACAAATGAGTAAAATTAAATATTAATATATAGTTGGTTCTTAAAAAAAAACTTTTTTTAAAAATATGTTATAAGAGGTTAAAATGAAATAGAAAAAATTAGCATTAATGCAACAATTGTAACGATTTATCAACAAACATTGCTGTTCACGATTGTAAAAAAAATGTGTGATTGGTTGGTTTGCTGAGAAAAAATAATTCACAGATTTCTTTGAATGGGAGTGGAAAAGCTTTCAGAAAAAGAGTGCAATATAAAATCTATTATTATTAAATTAAATTTTTGGAGAATTTTATAAAGTTAAAAATACAAAAACATTGTCAAAATAGAAAAAATTACCACCCAAGTATCGAAACTAACTTGAGTCATAAATGGATTCAGCCCAAGGACAGAATTTAAAAAGCTAATATCCTAAACCCTTTTTCCATCTCCACCAGAATCTTTCCTAAATTGCACAGTCCCATAGCGGCCAAAGGTTTCTGCATTCGTTTAGCAACCGAAGGAGAATTTTATGTGGTATTCTAGTTTGACAGAGCTGTAATGGAGCAAATTTTGATGCAAGCAAAGTATCGCTAAGTCGATGATATTTNACATATCATCTTGAAAAACATAATTTATTTTGATAGTTTGGCAAGATTTTTTTTTTTTTTAATGTTTTGGTACGAAATTTTGAATCAAAAATCATACATTGACCAACATAAGAGTAAAATTAAATATTAATATATAGTTAGTTCTTAAAAAAATCTTTTATTTAAAATTTAAATATACTATTAAAGGTTAAAATGAAATAGAAAAAAATTAGGATTAATGCAACAATTGGTCGACAAACATTGCTGTTCACGATTGTAAAAAAAATGTGTGATTGGTTGGTTTGCTGAGAAAAAATAATTCACAGATTTCTTTGAATGGGAGTGGAAAAGCTTTCAGAAAAAGAGTGCAATATAAAATCTATTATTATTAAATTATAATCAACAATTTTTGGAGAATTTTATAAAGTTAAAAATACAAAAACATTGTCAAAATAGAAAAAATTACCACCCAAGTATCGAAACTAACTTGAGTCATAAATGGATTCAGCCCAAGGACAGAATTTAAAAATCTAATATCCTAAATCCTTTTTCCATCTCCACCAGGATCTTTCCTAAATTGCACAGTCCCATAGCGGCCAAAGGTTTCTGCATTCGTTTAGCAACCGAAGGAGAATTTTATGTGGTATTCTAGTTTGACAGAGCTGTAATGGAGCAAATTTTGATGCAAGCAAAGTATCGCTAAGTCGATGATATTTAAACTGCTTGGCGATACATTTCCGTTTCAAAAAAGTGGGTATAATGGATGAAATGATTTAAATTAAGAAAATTAGTAAATAATTTAAATTAGTGAAATTAAAAAAATTATCAAAGAAAAAATTTCCAGCTTTTCTTTAAAATTCCCTGATTTTTCCAGGTTTTTATCCAAATTTCCCTGATATTTCCAGGTTTCTTCCAGTATAAAAAATACCTCGTGATAATTCCAGGTTTTCCAGGTGGGTGGCCACCCTGAACTTCTCAAGTGTTTAGATCATGCAATTTGTCAAATAATGAAGTTTAAAACTTTTAGAGATTTGAGGGATCATCGATAAATGAAAAATAGTGTTCTTGAACACCTTGTAGCAAAAAGGGAACAGAAGAAAAGAGCTGAGGTGCTGCAACCAAGTTCCTTGAAGGATCTGTTGTTAACCATGGCTTAAAGGTGTCTCTGAATCAGTTGGCTGAGGGAGAAAGTACTGTTCATCTTCGTGAATTGACATATCTCTGTGGGTGATGGCTGTTTATTCTTTTAGGATCTGTCCAAAGAGTTTTTTTTTGTGTCAATGCTACTCAAGGTTTAACACTTCCTTTTAAAAAGTATCAACTATAAAAGCCAAAGGGCCAGGATAGCCTGATTGGTAGGGCACTGGACCCTTGTCCAAGACTTCGTAGGTTGGATCCGCATGTAGAAATCTGTCGAGTCGCAAAGTCCCCCATGTTCCAATAACAAATCAATACATCTGGGGGAACTGATCCAGGAGTTTCTTTGTCTTCTCTGGATTGGTTCAAAATGACAAGGCTACGGAGGTGAACTTCAGTAGTCGTAAGCCCAAAATTGGGTCGGCTGTTCGACAACGGATATAAAATTATAAAAACCAAAAAAAAAAAAAAAGAAAGAAAAGATTTCTCCTGAATGCCAAAGAAATTGGTTAAATCCAGAAGTTTCCGGAACAGTTGGCAGCCAAGTTCTTTTTGTAATAATATTTTTACTATAGATAACACCTTACTTCAATGAATGAATGTTTTTCAAAATAATTTGAAAGTGTTTTGTGTTCACTTACTTGGCATCAGGGTCATACTCAGACCAGAGTCTAACAAATTCATCCAAATGGTGTGGACCCAGAATCGACCAATCACGTGTTAAGTAATCAAAATTATCCATAATGACAGCAACAAACAAATTTATGATCTGTAAATGGCAAACAAAGGTTGGCTGTTAACAAATATATTTGTATTGAAAAACCTTTCCAATTTTAAAAAGTTACTAATAACACTTTTTTTCTTTCTTCCTTTTATAATAAAAAAAAGAAAAACATTTTACATTTTGGAATTAAAATCTCACAAACGTAGTTTTTTTAAATAAATATATATACATATATATATATATACATATATACATATATATACATATATATATATACATATATACATATATATACATANTCTATATATATATATATATTAGCATTAGATGATCTGCCCGCAGGAAATTTTTTTTTGTCTAAGAATTAGGTACTGTTTTTGCTAATTCTTGATTCATTTAAAAACTTAATAAAAAAAATCAAGAAGATTTGAAAAAACTTGACTAATTTCAAACCAATTTCTATGCTGTAAGTTATATTTCTTACACATGTTATTACATAGAAAAATATTTTTCTGTCAGGGAAAATAAAATTTTATATTAAACATGACCAGCCACCTACCTACTGAATTGTGAAATCAAGTCACCAATTAAATGGATTTTAATTGGAAATTTTTTAATCGTAACTAAATTAAATGCCTTTCTTGTATTTTTATAAAAATTACAAGAACGCCCCTGATTGTATAAAATAGGGATAAGTAAACAATTACATCCAAAAAAAAAAAGTTATCAAAATTCTATAGCATACTTTAAAAAAATGACTTTCTATTAACATTCATATTGATAAAAAATGGTGGATATTAAATATAATTTTTTAGGAATTAAAGCAGTTGAAATATTTTTAAATATTTTAAACTGTTTTGATTAATTATCAGCAATATAAGGGAAAATTTAATTTTGTTCAGTTACTTTTCAGCATGCAAAAGAACATTGAAATGAAGACTCACAAGGAAGGAACAAAGAATGTAGAAAGAAACAAAATATGGAATGGCGAACTCTGTTCCGCACAATCCATTTGCATCATCAGATCTTGGATCACATTTAACATCTGGATTACTGACACAAGACATCATGATCTCTTGCCACGCCTCACCTGTAGCCGATCTAAAACACAGATCAAATTACATTAATCGCTTTTTACATAAGAGGTTACAATGGAGATTATTACGGTAAAAATATTACTTAATATTTTCATAAGGCAAAATTAATAGGTTTCAAGGCGGCTAAATATATAGTGTAGATTAAAAAAGATATTTTGTCCTAAATGCCACTTTTTTTTTTACTGAAAATGCACCCCGCGTGCTCCAAAATGAGTACTATGAGCAGCGACGGCTCAGGGAGTGGAACGATTTCCTTCCAGTGAGGTAAGCCGCGTTTGAATCCCAGTGATTGCTTGTCATTTCGAATTCAGCACCCGGCTTGCACTGACCACAGTCTTGACGTGAAATATCCTCAGAGGTAGATAGATCATGGGTTAAAGTCCTTTTGCAATCAGGCTAACCGTGGGAGGTTTTATTCATCATGTAACGCAAATGCGAATGAGTTCAATCAAAAAGTCCTCCATCAAGGCCATTTTCTCCCAATACTTGATCAAGGAGTTCCCTTGTCTTCTGAACTGGGTTCAAAATTACAAGGTCATGGAAATGAACATTGATAGCTATAAATTTAAAGTTGGGTCGGCTGTTCAACGATGGTTATAAAATAAAATAAGTACTAACAACTTGACGTATTATAATTAAACTTTCATCATTACAATTAATTATTTTAGATTCATTTTTTTTTTAAAAAAAAATTTGTGTTTGTTAATAATTATAAATTTTATGTTGCATTGTTGGTTGAAAAACTGAAAGCCTGAATTTTACTAGTTCAAAAAGTTATAAGCAAAAAAATATAGAAGTTATATGTTTAAAATTCACATAAGAATTCTTAGAAAGGTCAGAAAAATTATTCTTCATTATAGAATTAAACCCTGTATTATTTACTATATTTTGAGAAATATTTCAAATGAAATATGTTGCATTAACAGTAGTTCTTTAATAGTTTAGAATTTTTATTTTAATTTTTAAAAGAGTGGCTCCTATTTAAAATGCTACTAATGTTGAAAAAAATAAGCACCTTTAAAGTTTCTTTTAAGCACTATATACATTTACAAAATGTAAAACAGTTTTCAAAGACTTTACATGATCATGATAAAATAACTAGCTTCCGACAAAGAACTCTTTTTTTTTATTATATTAACTACTATAAAATAATCCAGAAAATTTTTCGGTTCGATATCAGGTGGTGGGAAATGAAGCCTGAAATTGAGAATATCTTGCAAAATGCAACAGAGTTGCACATGAGAGTGCAAAAATTTCATCAATAATGTAAAATAATTGGCGCTGTCATACACTATGGACTGACGGTAGGCTGAAATGAATTATGGTTGATTGAATTATGAAAATGTTGACTAGAGCAATGTGAAAACTACACTTTTGCATGATAAGTGGCGAAGATCTCATTTTCGAAAAGGGAAAATTAAGCACTATTTAAAAACATCCAATAAAAAAAAAGCACTTTTAGCGGCTTTTAAAAAAGAAAACTGAAAATAAGCATCTTTAAGAACCTTTTAAAAATGCTACGCACCATGTTTACAGTTTTTAGTTGAAGAAAACTGAATTTTTGGATACCTTGTTTCCGAATGCATTTAGGGCTGGCTTAATAAATCTAGGATGGTAGAATTTTTTTTTTACCAAATATGAAACCAAGATCACCAAATAGTAATTAAGCTGGCAACATTACCATTATAGTTGATTTACAGGTCTTTCCTATGCCTGTTATTATGTGCTGTTAAAGCATGTAAACTGCTAAAATGTGGAATTTTGCAGAAAAGATGCAAGATAAACAGATTCGCTATTTCAAAACGTAAAATATTCAAGATTTTAAGTAAAGAGCATTTTTCGTGTCATACTACATTTTAAAAAATATAATTTTAAAGCATTTGTTTTTATGAATCTTTTAAAAATAAGCAATAATTTTTAGTTAGCTGTGCACGTAAGCAGTATAAGTGATTTCAAGATGTTACTTCTGCACTACTTCCAAATCAAACAGTTTCGTGATTATGTTCATGAAGTTGGATAATCAATTGGAACATTTATAGGTGAACTTACCTAAATAAGACCAGAACAGCTTGAGGGAATGTTTGGAAATTGTTATTGCGATGGATTTCAGTTTCTGGATTAAGAGCAATCTTTCCAAAAACCTGCAGAATAATTTATTTTGAAAACTTATATTTTAAATTTAACAAAAAGGAGTAAACATAATTTTTTTTCATAAAGTCCAAAAAAAAAAAAAATCTTATCATAAACACAGACAAGACTCTTTGACCATTCATAATCTTTACATGAATTGTAATGAATGCTTAAAATGCCATTCTATTCAATACATGAATTGTAATGAATGCTTAAAATGCCATTCTATTCATTACATGAATTGTAATGAATGGTAGATTTCAAGTCATATAAAGTAATGAAATTTTTTAAGTAGTGACAATTTAAGAGTTTAAAAAATGTTTCTTTCATGTACAATATTCTGATAGAGGACCCACTCATTAACTTAAGTGTCAGCATAATTTTACAGTTTAATATAAGGTGCGGGAGTTGCAGTGGCTCAGAGTACTCTTCTCCCAAAGAGGTGCCCTAGTTTCGAATCCCAATAGTGGATGGTCGATTCAGATTCTGTTCCCAGCTCAGAACAACCACAGTACCAAAATTCTCTGGATGGTAGAATACCTTTGCTGTTGGAATAATCGTAAGAGGGTTGTCCTCTCCATGTAATGCAAATGTTGGGTTATTTTCATCAAAAAATACTTCACCAAGAATAGATTCAGGACTTCCTTAGTCTTCTGGGTTAGAATCGGAATTACCAGTAATTTAACATTAAGTTGGTTGTCCAAACAAAATAAAATAACGCATCATTAGAATAACACCAAAATATCATGAAAAATTTAGTGCAATGAACACAAGACGCTTCCTTGCCAGAAATACAATTTGATAAACCCTGACATTGTGCAGCAGTGCAACCATTCATATTGAGCTGTGGTGGCTCTGGGGATAGAGTGTTTGCCTTCCAATGAGGTGAACCGGGTTTGAATTCCAGCAATTGCGGGTCGATAAGAATTCTGAACCCGGCTTGCACCGAACCACAGTGCTGACATAAAAATATCCTCAGTGGTAGACGGATTATTGATATGAGTCCCCTTGCAGGAGGTTTTCGTGGTCGTCTTCTCCTTGTAACGCAAATGTGGTTAAGGGTACAGGGGACCTTCAAATTTGAAAAAAGTGACCAAAATTTCGATTTTGAGATTTTTATTTTTTCAGAAAATAGACGTTTTAAGCTTTCAAACAAAAAAAAATTTTTGGAAATCGAACCCTTTTTTACTGAGATATGAGGATTTTAATTAGGCCACGCCCCTTTGTTTACATTCAGAAAACAGAAGTCGGTTGTTTGAAGTGACACTTCTATATATTATATATCGCCGCACAAAAGTAGTTTTGACATTTGAATCAATGTTTCATTTTTTGGTTGATATATCAATCAAATTTTTTAAAATAAATTAATTTCATGCTTATTAACTTATTTTATGTTATTACTTTAGTGAATTTACTTGCGTTAAATTTTGAATAAGTAAATATGCTTGCTGAGTATTTCCTTTCATAGGCACATATTGAATTGAATTTTCATTCATTTCAACCTAATAATGGAGATAATAGTACAGATATATGCTTAATTAGTCATTTTTTAGATATTATACACAACTAATAGTGTTATTTTAAATACATTTTAAAAATTGCTATTTTCTCGAAATGAAATTTTGACGGATTTTTGTGTTTTCGAAATGCTCCATTTGTCTCAATTTTTAGTTTTTTTGGTTGAAACTTGTTTTATGTGTACTATGTATGTATGTAATTAAAACTTACCATGTTTTGTTACCTAGAACATTGATAAAATTTGTTTATAGTAAAAAAAGTTTAAGATTTTTTAAATTTTTCCAGAAATTTTCATGAGATACATAAAAAGTGTGCTTTTTGAGCTAGAGAACTATAATTAGCCACTGAATGATGGTAACTTTCATTAGGAAATCAAAATCCAGTCATATAAAAAAAAAAGTATGATTCTGCAATGAATTTTAAGCCCCATGGAGTGTTTTGACTTTATCGGATTTCATGCTATTTTAAAATTTTAAAAGTTCAATAACTTTAAATTTTATCATTCAAATTACATGAAATTTTGTATACAGCTTTTTAAAGATATTATAAGTAAATACTGCAAGTTTCATAAATGTATCATAAAAACTCTGAAAGTTGGTTTTTAAGGTCCCCTGTACCCTTAAGTTCCATCAAAAATTCCTCCACGAAGGAAAATTTCTCTCTATACTTGATTCAGGAGTTCCCTTGTCCCAAAATTACAAGGGTATGGAGTTGAACATTAGTCGCAAACCCAAAAAATTGGGTCGGCTGTTCAACGATGATTATAAAATAAAATTAAAATAAACCATTGGTATCGTTTGATAACAAAAGCATTATTAAAAAGGAAAGCTTTAAAAAAATGCAATTACCTGCATTCCCACAACGGCATAGATGAAAAAGAGCAGTGCAATCAAAAGAGCAACATAAGGTAGGGCCTATAAAGTAAATAAAAGTATATTTGACACATTTACATTGGAATCTCAATTAAATCTATGTTAACTGATATTGTGCATTCTCTTTTCTCAATTTCAATAACATGATGCTATAGAGCTGCCAACTTTACAAATTAGCTTTCAGTAATCAGAAGTACAATAAAACATTTAAGTTCACATAATTTAAAGTAATGCGATTTTAAGGTGTATATACAGTCAAACCCCGCTATAGTGAACATGGGTTTATAGTAAACTTGCGGAATAGTGAACGAAATGTTTGCCCCCGTGCCTTGCTACACACGTATAATGTTATTTTTTGTGGTTATGGTGAACCAAAACAAGAGAGGAAGTTGGATATTATGAACTTTTTTCTGTCTTCGCCTGATTTATTTTCTTCATTTTTTTGTAACAATTTCGAAATTTCTACTACAAAATATATGCATTTACTGATTTTTAAAACCATCTATACCATGGAATGTAACAACAAGCATTTTTTCTTGTTTGCTTCATAATTGATTAGCTTTATTGAATTGGTTCAGCATTCAAAGAAGCCATAATCTTCCAGTATCTGGACAAATGCTTGAAATCAAAGCGGATGAATTTACTATGCGATTTGGTGAGATTACTTGGAGTACGTGCTGGAATGGATGGTTAAACAGGTTTAAAAATCAGAATAACATAAATTCAGGACAAATTATCGGAGAGTCGGGAAGTGTTTCATATCTGATATTGAAGATTCCTCCTCAGCTAAAGATTACTAATTTTTTCTGTATGCAAGGTAAAGAGTAATAAAAAATAAAAGTTAACACATTTTTCTTACTACATATTATTTTTCAGTCATTTTTGTATTTCATTTCATTGGTCATTTATTTAAAAACTGCGTAATAAAAGGGGAGAGTTTGGAAAGATAAATTAAAATTGTTTGCGGAACGGATATATTGAAGTCCCAGGTATAGTGAACCGAAATTTCGGTCCCTTGAAGATTCATTACAGCATGGTTTGACTGTACTACTTAATTCTATATAGGTACTCAAGATTAATAAAATTATGCATGACGTTACTATCGAATACAAAAAGTAACACTTAGATAAAAGTACTAAAAATAAAAATTATGCAACACATACTTTATACTTCATAATAAAATGGTAAATTGACTATTTTGAATCGAGGTCTTAGTTTAAGGTCAAATTGGAACAAGCAATTTTTGCCTTTTTATCAGTTTACATTTGAACCACTAACAAATTTTGCTCACAGCATTTCAGATTTGAGTTTATGCTTTTTAGTTGTTCTATACTGAGAAGATTAAGTTAAAGAGAAGTAGTTGGAAAGGGAAAGATAAAATATCTGTTTTTTTTTTTTAATACTTCTTTCTATCAAATCGTTTATTATTTTAAGAAATGTTAAAGGAGTAGAAAAAAGAATATCATAGATTAGCAATAGGTATAGTTTTGTAATTCTTGAAAGTTAAGAGAAAAAAATTAATCTTCAAAAATTGTAATTTTTATTACTTAAACATAAGACTATAATCTTGGCTATGAGATTGTTATAATTCTGGATAAATCATAATATTTCACACCTTTTCAAGAGACCTTCGAATTAAAGAAATATATATTCTAAGTACTGCATATAATAAATATCATTTAATGTGTGTTTTGTCAATTGAATGATTGCTGAAAGAAGATAAAAGATATAATTTTTGTTGTTTCATTATTACTAATGAGATCTTCTGCAAAAAGGAATTGTATTATTTGTGAGAAAAAAAATATTGGAATGAAAAAAAAAGATAAACCAATGATATAAATTCAGAATTGCTTAGTAAAAATGGTTTATTCGGAAGTTGTGCAATATTTTGAAACATTTCAGCAATAGTGAGTCAGGCTGAAGATTAAGGCTCCATAATTTCATGACCAATGCCATTCACGATTGTTGTCAGCTAAACACACAAAGCATATTTATTATTGAACCTGGGTGGGTGCTCGGCGATAAATCAATTTAACACATGCATCATCATGATGCCGATTCTGGCATTTCTGAGGTCAACGGGAAACAGACCCAAGTGTCCACCATTAAAACAAAATAATAAAATATTGCCCATACTTGATGAGTGAGCCGTGATGGCTCAGGGGATAGAGCGTTCCCCTTCCAATGAGGTGAAATGCGTTCGAATCCCAGCAATGGCTAGTAGATACAAATTCTGCACCCAGCTCGCACTGACCACAATACTGACACAAAATATCCTCAGTGGTAGACGGATCAGGGATTAGACTACCCTTCACATCAGGCTAACCCTGAGAGGTTCTCGTAGTCTTCCTCCTCAGAAATACAATTTGATAAACTCTGACATTGAATGATATTGTGCAGCAGAGCAACTACTGGTATTGAGCCATGGTGGCTATGGAGATAGAGCGTTTGCCTTTCAATGAGGTGAACCGGACTCAGATGGCTGGTCGATACGAATTCTGCACCCAGCTCGCACAGACCACAGTGACTTAAAAATATCCTCAGTGGTAAACGGATCATGGGTAAGAGTCCCGTTGCCGTGGGAGGTTTTCGTGGTCTTCCTTTCCATGTAATGCAAATGTGGGTTAGTTCCACCAAAAAGTCCTCCATGAAGACAAATTTCTCCCACTACTTGACTCAGAAGTTCTCTGGTCTTCTGGAGTGGGCTCAAAATTACAAGTTTATGGAGTTAGCAGTCGTAAACCAAAAAAATTGGTTCGGCTGTTCAACAACGGCTATAAAATAAAAAAATAATTGATGTGCGTACCTGAAATGATTTTATGAAAGTCCACAGTAGAGTTCGTATTCCTTCTCCTCTACTCAGCAGTTTCACCAGCCTCATCACCCGAAACAGTCGAAAGAAGTTTATACTGATAATGCTTGAGTTTGGCTACAAATAGGAAATATGATCATTTTATTCATGATATATAGTTTGTCTACGGTAAGAACTCCCCCCCCATCACATAGTCTGAGACCATCTGCTGCTATGAAAACAAGAATAGTGCATTAAAGGGAGGGTAGTTTCTCTTTATTCTAGGGCTTTCACAATAGAACAAAGAAAAATAATCTCGCCGAACCGACTCAAATCCTGTTTTAAATAATGACCCCCACCCCTTCTTTAAATAGCTATATCTCGCTAGCATCACTGCCACGGGTTCAGATGAATGGCATGGGGAGTTCTTACATTAGACAAACTATATTTCTACAAAAAAATAGATTTTATACTTGCCAAAACTTACTAACTGTTGCTAAAGCACACTATGTAACCTAAAAAAGTGCCTTGATATTTGATACAAAAGAAAAACCTTAAAATATAAACATGATACAGCAAGAACAGAAAAAGGGGAAAACAAGAAAAAAACTAAGACTATTTAAAGAAGCAGCAAATTTATTAACAATATTTTCGTTTCCAATGCAACTTCCTGAGGTGAAAAGTATAGGGCCAAAAGCCTACTCATTATAAAATATGTTATTTAAAATGTCTTAGTTGCCACCCGATTGCTCTCGTTTTCGATGAAAATACCTCTCATGTATTGCAAAATATGTGCTTTCAACTTCTAATATTATTTATTAAACAAGGTCTTCATTTCCAGAATAATCAGGCTAATTTTACACTGTTTCAAAATTTATTAAAGGGTTCACAAAGATAATTTCACACTACTTATTTCATTTATGGCCAAAAATATCAATCTACACACAGGACTGCCAACTACCACACATATAATTATCGACAACTAAGAAGTCAACATTTTTATGTAATTTTGCTCATCATGAATAAACTGGTGCGAAGTGGCATTTCTTATAAACTTTTGAATTACTTACCTACAGTGGTGTAGGAAACAGCTTTAAATAAAATTTACAAGCCAAAGCATAAATTTAGTTACCAAAAAAATTCCAAAAAAGCGTATAAGTTCGTTAATATATATTAATCATAAAAATTACAATTATTTCAGATTTATTTAAAAATAAATGAACTTTATATTTGTTAGTAAATATAAGTTTTACATTGCATTATTAGTCAGAAAACTCAAATCTAAATTTCATTTGTTAAAAATGTTAAAAATATTAAAATTTTACATAACCCTACTTGGAGAAGTTGGGAAAATTTTTATTTCAAAAATAAACTATGTAGTGTTTACCATTCTTTAAGAAATGCTTTAACATTAACTATGTCGAAAGTTTCTTTTTAAGTTTAGAATTGTTAAAAATGCTACTACTAGCCTCTGGCTGTGAATAAAATTTCCTAATTTGGCTCTATAATGAAAATTATCAAACATAATACTATTTAATAATATTTTATAGCAATGTTTTATGCTTCAATGTTTTCACCACGGTGTTAAGAGACTCCTAATGAGGTGACCAAGATTTCAATCTCAGCAATGGCTAGTTGATATAAATTCTGCTTTCAGCTTGCACCACCCACATTGCTGATGTAAAACATCCTCAGCAATAGACGGATTTTTCTTTTATTCCTCTCTGTGTAATGCAAATGTGGGTCAGTTAAATCATAAAAAGTCCTTCACCAAGGCTAGTTTTTATTTTATTTTATAACCATCGTTGAACAGCTGACCCAATTTTTGGGTTTACGACTACTAATGTTCAACTCCATAGCTTTGTCATTTTGAACCTGATCCAGATGACAAGGGAACTCCTGCATCAAGTATTGGGACAAATTTGCCTTCGTCGAGGACTTTTTGATGGAACTATCCAGCAAATGCGTTACATGGAGAGGAAAACCATAAGAACCTCTCATGGTTAGCCTGACGGCACATGGACTCTAACTCATGATCCGTCTACCATTCAGGATATTTTATGTCATTACTGTAGTCAGTGCAAGCCCGATGAGGAATTTGTATCGACCAGCAATCGCCGGGGTACGAAGCCGGTTCACCTCATTAGAAGGCGAAGGCACTATCTCCTGAGCGATCACGGCTCACCGAGGCTAGTTTTACTAAATGCCTTCTGGGTTGCGTTCAAAATAGCAAGACTACAGAGTTGATAGTCCACAACTCAGAATCGGGTCAGCTGTTTAATGCCAGTTATAAAATTAAAAGATCCAACAAGAAGAGATGCATAAAGCACTGATCAACAGTACAGGAAAAATAAGGCTTGAAAAAAACTTTCTTGAAATAATGGTATGTTAATAATTCAAATAAAACACATGTTTAATTAACACAGATATATTAATAAAACTAGGAATATAAATATTAGTACTGTTGATGATACAAATCTTATGAATGAACCACATCCAGCATCTGACATCAATTCATAGAATCTAGTTTACATTTGAAAAGTTTTTATACATTTTTAAAAGGGCACAAGGGAGTACAGTTACTATTTAACAGTTTCAGATATGGGGTTGATCACCCCTGTATGTTAATCACCAGTATAAGTTGATCTTAATGCTCAAGTATTAAACTAACAAAAACAATTTATTTGGCTTTTTATAAACTGACCACTTGTCAAGTGAACCCACAGGGGATGGCTCGAACTTAATCATTTCAAATAATTGGGTACTTTCACCTCAAGAAGACAACCAATACCCACGCATGACCTTTGACATCAGCACCAGCAAACCTTTATCAGAAAAATGGCGGTATTAAAGTGGAACTAAGTTTCGCTACATAATTTAAGATGCTGATTAAGGTTAAGTTATTTAAATACACAGCACATCGAAATTGTTGAAACATAATTCTTTCAGATTGATTTGTTTCTGTATTTTATTGTAACCATGATATAATTTTTTTTATGTACCTGGCAACTTCGATGCATAATAAGTTTGTTTATGTTCTACATAGCTTTGTGCCTGTCTTTGTGTAAATATATAGTGGTAGAACTAAAATCTTTGCGAAAGAATAAGTTGTGTTACTTAAAAGAATTAGTACTCGACAGGCTTGGCTTACTCGAAACAAAATGGAACGAAAGGTTGTTAACGTCAACAAATGCCACATTTCAACCACCAATCAGGATCGCGATACCCACACTACATCACTTTCAGGTATCAAAAACATGTATTCAACAGCGCAACAAAATAAATCTAGAATCAAAAATATAAATCTAGAATTTAATTTGTAACACAGAATTTAAATTTTGGAATAAAATTTATCAATTTCCAACATAATATTTAAAATTTTAATAGCCTGAAACTTAAATTTGTTTGAAAGTAATAGTTTATTCATGAAAAATTTGTCTTAGTAAGTCATACATTTACACAAAAATTAATAGATTTTTAATGTAATGCCCTTAGTAGTCGATTTGACTTTGCCGTCCTCGTCTTGCAGGAGGGTAAAGGGTACAATGATCCCCCTTTGTCCATTTCCTTGCATTCACTTACACAGATTTTCACAGAACAACAAAAATTGAAAAATGTTATTAAAAAATAGAAAAAGATGATAATAAAACAGGAAGTCATTCACTCAAGGTAGAATCACATGCCCGAAAATAGAAAATAAAACTATCATAAATAAATCCATTATTTACTGCAAAATTGCATTCTTCAATTGACTTAATAAAAAAAAATCAGGTTACATAGTGTTATACAGGAAATTGGAGCAAAATTTGAAATCTAATTTTGAAATTTTTTAAATTAAAGAAAATCAGATGAAGACAATTTTTGGGTTTACATACAAGGGAAACTGGAGGATCTGGACTTTGGGTAGGACCAGATGACCGGCCTTGACCTGCAACGGGCTGTTTGTCCTTAATAGAAGAATTGTACAGAGAGTTATCGCTTATATAACTTGAAATATAATTTTTCAATACATTTATTTTTTAAATGAATAGGAAAAATATATTTGGGATATCTACTGTCGTACAGGAAGTTAATTTGCAAAAAAAAAAAATTTTGAAATCTAATTCTAAAAATCTAATTTTATTTATTCTTCTTTACTGTCTAATTTAATAAGGAAAGCATACCAAGGCAATTTTTGGAGTGTTGTACAGGAAGTTAGTTATCGCCAAATTTAAAATCTGGTTTTAAGAATCTAAATTATTTTTTTGGAATCACTAATTTATTAAGAAAGGCATATCAAGGCAATTTTTGGGTTACATAGGTTACAGGAAGTTAGTTGGTGAATACATTTGAAATCTAATTTAAACTAAAATACATAATTTATTAAGGAAAGCAGATCAAGACCATCAAGACAATTTATTTTAAGATACCTACTGTTGTGCAGGAAGTTAGTCACAGCGAAAATCTGTAATCTATAATCATTTCACAGTTTTAGCAACTCAAATAAGGTCATTTTCAAAATTTGGTGTCTTTCAAAAATTATTTCAATGAGAGTGCATGGTTTTTAAAAATATATTAAGCACATTTTTTATACCATTTAAATGTTTTTCACTGTAATTCTTTCTGTTCAATAATTTTTCAGTTTAATTGAATTATTTAGAAGTTTAATTATTTTAGCTAGTTATGATTAAAATTGTCAGGCCTCTTACCATAATTCCTACAACCTTTACATATTTTAGATAAAGATACTTAAAATATATAATTTAAGTATCAATAATATTTAATTTTAATATTAATAATATTATTTAAATTAAAAATAAATAATTCTAAAACTTCAAACAAAATTCGATTTTATTCAAGCTAAAAACCAAATTAAATTATCTAATGAAATAAGTAACATATAAAACTAATCATAGTAAAAGACACAACACAATAAAGAAAAGAAAACTAAATTGTGATTTCTTCTTTATTACGTTGGTTTAAAAGCTTCTTCAACAAATAGAATATTCAAAATGGTTGCTTATTTCAAATATTTGCATATTCTTTAAAGGTAAAAAAATTTTGCCATTCAAATTGTGTGATTCAAAAAAATTTAAATAAATGCATGGATTAAATTAATATAAATAAAACATGTTAAATCTAAAAAATTGGTGAAACATTGCTGTAGAAAAGTGCCAAAGTAATGTAAAACAAAAACCGATTAAGGACTTTTTTAAGCAAAGACTCTAAAATTCTCATAAAGTATGCTCGTTAAGTGTTTTTAAGAAAGCTTTTTAATTATAATATGAATTGCATGTGGTATAAATTTTGTATTGTTAAACATTTATATAAACTCTTTTTCTTTCCTTTTTCATACTCTTCAATTAAACAGAGTTTTTCGGTTATCCGAGTTAGACGTGGCCCAAATTAACTTGGGACTCTACTGGGATAACTGGGTACTTTTTTTGCTGGACAAAAATTGCAGACCCTGCCTTACAGCAAATTTCTTAAAAATACAATTTCACCTCGTATTTATGTACCTAAAAATATTTATTAATGCGTATAAAGAAGAAACGCATAAAGCTTCCAACACCGTTTAAAAAAAACTATTTTTCAGTCAGAGAACTTATGGCACCAAATTATGAAAATGACCCTTTACATAGAAAATATTTTTGCACTCTACAAATAATGGAATATAAAAAAGGGTTCCCACTCAATTTTTAGAAATAAAATTACCTGATTTTTTCAGGAAAATTTTATATTCCTAATTACATTTTTGTATACATCGCAATATTTCATCAGAAATATATTTTTTCAGTTCAACAAGCATGACATTTCGATAAAAAAACTATGTCAAATATAAAATTTGTAAAAGAATCAGAATTTTACTCTGCAAATTTTAATATTTAGGTTTTATAAAACTTCATTACATAAATTATAGATAAAATAGATAAAAGCAATATTTGCCACAAAAAGTGAAAAAATTTAAAATTTCAATGAAGCATAGTTTATTAAGAATCACATTAGTCAGAAGTTATGCTTCTTACTCGCAATTAAAAACAAAAATAAATTTGTACAGAATGTATAAATCTTTAAGGACTTAAACTGCATGTAAAATTATTGAAAAACAAAAGTCTTAAGATTATTTTTCACAAATTATTCTAATTTCAATAATTGTAAACGTAATTCAACCATGTTGCAAAAACATTTCCATAGGTAATAATTAAAATAGAAGTCAGATTTATTTACTTTCAACATCATCGGCCGCTTATTGTCATCATTAATTTTGAAATTTGTTATTTTCTAGGTTATGGCCAAAAATTGCATTATTGTTTTTTTTTTTTTTTAAAATCTCTAAATCAAATTCCTTGACAATTTCAGGTTTTTCCGATCCAGTGGAAATCCTTATTTGTCATTCAAATAAAAAATTTAGCATTTATTTTAAATGATTGTAAGTATAAAAACTCGGTCAAGCATAATTGAAAAAAAAGGTGAGTAAACTTACATGGACTTCACCATAAATGATATCAATGAAGCTTCCCAAAACAATGATGAAATCGAACACATTCCAAGCATCACCAAAATAATTCTAAAAAGTAAGAAGAAAAAAAAGCACACTATAGAAACAAGTCAGCTAATTACTGCACTTTTTGTATAAATTTTATAGAGTGCAAGATAATTAGAAATGAAAGCTTTCAGAATTTGTGGTAAATTTTAAAAGCCTCACTAAAAAAAAAGTTTTCACAGCGTGGGTTTCAAACAACATTTGAATCATTTACAATTTACATGAAGAAATAACTTTATATTTTAAATTTACAAAATAAAAAGAATACATTAAAACCAACTTAGCTACCACTTTTTTCCAAATAAAGCGTAGAAAGTTAGCAATCCTGGACATGTGTAACATTTGTTATGTTCCCTTGCAGGGTGGCCACTCAAAACAGATTTCAAATTTCCCTGATTTTTCCAGGTAAAAAACTTAAAATTTCCAGGTTTGTATTTTTTTCCTTTTTTTTATAAAGTGTAGGATGTGTACAAGAAAAGTGTCTGTATTATAAAATATCTCATTCAAAATGTCATTTTTTTAAACATATTTTGAAAAAAAAATTATTTTTTCACAAGATATTTTTTTTAATTATTTTTTAATGCTCTGGTACAACATTAATTTTTAAAAAATTAGGACGTGGAGAAAATAATATGTTTAGCTTGCAGAATATATTGAATAATTTTAATTGTTTTTACTGAATTTAATTTGTTACTTTAAGTAATATTTGCTCAAAGTGTACCTACAAAATAACAAAATCAGAATAACCAATAAAACCTTGGATAAGTATTGTTTAATATATTTTCATTAAGGAAAAGAAAACCGTTTCAGGTGATTATATATCAATAATTTTTAATAATTACAGTGGCTCCCAAAAGTGCTCACTCACTTATAACTTATATTGAAATAGGAAATAAAAATTCAACAATTAAAATGAATATTTCACAATGGGTATTTGATAATAAGATGTATAATCTATTCTTAGCAAAACTGCACGGAATATTTTAAAAACAAAGCAAAAGT